ATGAATCAACGCGAGACGCGACGGAAGACCCTTTCCGATCATTGGCGGGCAGATTCCTGGCATTCCCTCGGGGCCGGTACAGCCCATCATGGTGGGTAGCTCAGTTCGGACCCACCCCATCGCGTAGCTGCACTCTCTGATCGACTCGCAGGGGATACTGATCATGCCTTTCCACAGTTTCCTTAGCTGCTTGAAGGGGTTTCCGGGTAGCTCGTCACCGCCGTCGAATTCGATGTTACCAGCGTGCATCATATTCTCGTAAAGGATCAAAAGATCCGTGATGGAGCTGCGGATACCACCGGCAGCACCCATCAGGATATCTTCGCCAACTAGAGGACGTGGGATCTCATGGGCTGAGCCATCGCGAAGGGTGGAGTAGGCTTTCGATGCGGTTTTGGGGTCTATCGGGGCCTCGGTGTAAACGGTGTCTAGCATGGCTAGAGGCTCGACTATATGTTCCCGCAAAAAGTCGGTGTACTTTATCCCCGAGACCTTCTCGATGACCTGCCCGGCTACTTCGTAGGCCATGTTGTTGTATATGAATTCCGTGCGGAGAGGCTTTGCGACTGGGAGGTAGCCTAGGATTGGGACTGCATCGGAGCGTTTCAGGACGGGGTTGTTGTTGGAGCCTAACCATAGGGAGTCGTATCCGGGGAGTCCTGTTCGGTGGCTTAAGATATCTTCGATGGTGATATTTATGGCCGGGTCTTTGTCGTCTCGAGTGTATTCTGGGAGGATGCTATGGAGCTGGGTAGTCCAATCTAACTTCCCATCTTCAACGAGTATACCAACCATTGCGGCGGTAACTGCTTTGGTTAAGGAACCAATGACGTATGTTGTGGTTTCATCAGGAGGTAGTCCAGAGGCGATGTCGCGGAAGCCAAAGTGTGCTTGGTGAATCTCGCCGTCGTGGAGAACTCCCAGGGACATGCCTGGAGTTCCTGCGATCTTGCATATTTGGACGATGAGCGGCCCGAGGGCTTCAAGGGTTCCGACACGCCTGGGGGTAGTAGTTAGGTTTGATTCCAATAGAGAGGAAGCTATGGGATTGGAAAACGTACATCGATACTTAGGTTATCCGTGATACCGCTACTGAAAGGTTCAGGGACGGAGGATTGAGGTGCTCGACGGTATGTAAGGGACGTCGCAGGGCAGCTGAGACGTACTGCTTGTGCGGAGAATCGATAGAAGGCTTCATCAGCGTTCGTCATGGCGGTTACAGACGCAGGTCGGGTACAGGTGGCTGGTCCTATCGGAGACACCACTAAAATGGCGGTGTTTCCTTGCCAATCACTGATAGAACCTGCATGAAATAGTTGCTGTTGACTGATGTTGTTGGCTACGTGGATCATTAACCCTAACCTGATGAGACATCGTTAGTTTGCATGGTTGCCTGTGATTGGCCATCGCAGCGGAGCCGACAGTCCGTGCATAATCGGAATTAATGCGCGCCTATGGAGTACAGCTCACGTTTTTAACGTCTGCGCCGTCAGTGCCGTTGTAAAAAGGAAGAAACACGAAAGGCGGAGGATCGTGGAGGTATGAAGGTGAAGAAAGGTTTACAACTTGATTTGACGGTACCTGCTGGGGTATTTAAGTATTATGTAGGTATGCACTGTACTCTTCGTGTCTCGGCGGTACACCATCAGGATTAATTCTTAAGAACGAGACAACAGTATCTATTCTTTGGGACAACGTCATTAAATTCGAAAACATCAGAAAATATACCTTTCTCCCCTTCTACTCTACTAGAACAAAGCCATGCTATAAATCGTACTTCCAAGCACCATTCAAAATTACATTGCGCTAGTCTATTTTTTCAACATCAAAGATCTCAGGAAATTCGGACCGGTAGAAAGCCTTAATAATTGGGCAACACTTGATGGCCTTCATGAGTTGACCTCGCTCTCGGCAGTCCATAATCTGCAAGCCCTCTGATTTTCGGCAACGACTCAAAGCCACATACGCTTGACCGGTATCGAATGCACGCCCAATATAAACCGCAGCGTAGTCAAGCGTCAAGCCTTGAGACTTATGTATTGTGATTGCCCATGCGTGTGTAAGCGGGATTTGCAATCGTTCCAAGGATGTTTCGTCAATTTCTCTTTCCACCGCTTGTGAACCTTGCATGCCGATATTTCGCGTTATCGTACTATTTAAGAATGGCATGATGACGTAAGGCTGTTTCATATTATCCTCGAAGCGAACTATCGGTAGACTGATTGTAGCCTTCAAAAGCTTATTGATGCCGAAGAACTTCTCTATTAAGTCTTTTCTGTCTTTTAGGGCTGGTTGGTAAATAGAGGAGACACGGCACTCTTCGCCATTATCGAGGACCTGTTTAGAAATAGTGGTGGGTTTTCTGCACATCTTAGAAAAGTTGTCTTCTTGAAGCTCATACATTCCACATACAACGCCTCGAGAACCGTTAATCAAGCCGTTGCCCGGATTGACATTGGCAATGAGCATGACCTGTGTGCCCACCTTTAGGCGGAGACTGAACGGCATCTGGTTGTCTTTAAAGAACCAATGATCGCTGCGTTCCTTTTCTGTTAGAGGAAAGGTATTAAGTATTTTCTTTGCCAATCGGTGTTCTTGTTTTTTGGTGATCCTGTAGCGTCGGATCTTGGTACATAACATGTTAGTTGATAGACAATTAAGATATAAAAAAGGGATAAAAAAAGAAAAACGCATGCTCACCACGGCATCGTCATATGCATCAAAGAGGTATTCACAACCACCTAGCTTGTCATATTCTCTCTGGTTTTCCTCATCCACACCTTTTCGATGAGTGTGGATTCTCGTAGGTGTAATACCCCCGTTTTCTGGCAACTTTCGGCTAAGGTTCTGGAGGTAATCGATAACTTGTTCGTCTCGATTACCCAACCTGATCTGGTTCAAAACTTCTATCCAATCCAAATCCGTTTGACGGTGTACCTCTTTGAGGTATACGTTGACAAATGCTGCCTCCTTCCACTCTTTGGTTTGGAACACGTATTTGATTGAATCGTTGAATAGAGCCTCACACTTATGATTTGGACATCTGCCCCATCTTTCTGGAAGAAGCCCGATTGCTTCGTGTGATTGATATTTCGGCGGCGTTTCAAGGTATTTGTGTCCAGTCAAGTTTGCATCTGGTATTTGAAATCCTATTAATCAAACTAATTAGTATGCTGATACGCCTCAATTATCATGCAAAACACACCACACTGTATGCAGTTTTTTGTTGCATTAAAGTTGTTGACAGGCGGTAGTTGGAAAAAGTCTCCACACACAATAACTTGCATACCGCCTATGGTTGTTAGTTACATAGGAGTCATGTTTTGTGTTTGGTTGTGTTGCACCTACCAAAGAAAAGATCATTTGAACGTCCAAATTTCAAACAAGTATTGATGATCTTAAAAAGGTTTGGGTGTAGCTATTCACTTTATCAGAATTATACTGCAAGAATTGAAATATCAAACTTTTACCATAGACACTTCATCAATGATCAACACATCGCCATCTACGATCGTTTTGATTCTCCGCATAGGCGAGGACTCTTTGTCAAATCGCTGACGACTTATCAAATTAGCCAACTCTTCATGCCATGACTAGCCATTGCCTTCATGATGATTTAGCTTCGCTATATTTTGATTGCAGGTACTTACAAACCACAATCTCTAAGAATCCTATTAATCCCTTGGTCTGCTTTCCCGTGGCCAAACCATCTGTGGATGGTTTGTCCTTGCAGCTGCTTGGCAGCAAATGCTGTTGGAGCAGTGACTGCGTACACCTTGTTCGCCGATTTTAAATACTCCACGGCCCTTTTGATGACTTCACTTTTGCCAGAGCCGGCGGCTCCTGTAATAAACACATTTCTGCCTTGCTTTATATGCTCCAGTGCAAGCTTTTGATCAGCGTCAAGATCAAACTTTGGCGCTTCAGGGACTTCGGTTTCGGTGTGTAAGCGAGCACGATTCGAGGGTATATCTGTGCCGGAAGGTTTTGTTAGCATCTGATCTGCATGAATTGTCTCTATCCCGAATACTCAATTACCTCCAGGCTTCCTAGAAGGCATGAGGAACCTTCTGACACTTCCGATCCGTAGCGCAGATTCGAATTCTGTGGATTGTATTCGGCGTTTGCTGTAGATTTGCCATGGTACTCCAGGTCCCCTATTAACAGTTAGCCTAGTCTGACATTACTTTACTTACATCGCGTACCATGCTGTGTTGAATCCAATATTTCTCCGACAAGTAACACGTTGAAGTCCTGGGGCCGACCTCGCCAACATCTTCGGCAATCTGATGAGACGGTGCATGTATTGTGACAGTAGGCTGGGAGTGAAGTGAATGAGTTTTGCAAAACTTAGCGCGGGGTCAGATCAGGCAGCAGCTTGATTTTCTCGGCAGTTAGATGGACCCAGGTCAAATGCACAAACATGCATTCCAATTTGCACGGCCTATCATACCTACTTCTCCCGGGTAACCGGGTCCAAATTATCCCAAAAGTGTTGAGAACCCGAAAATATGCTTGGCATATCTTTCTGGTTGTTCATTTTTTTTCCTTTGAAAGCCTTCCAAAGTTTACATCCTACATAAAAGCTCGTACGCCGTACAGTTTGTTGAACCCGGGAACGGAACGGGTAGGCTAGACGGGTACACCCGTGTGTCTAGCCAGTCATCGTTAGATTAAATAGCCGAGGACCCTGCGAATGGCCATCCTTGCTGGAGAGACACATAATGCAATGAACCTGGTGATGATAACCAGCCCACTGAGTTCTCAAGATCCAATATCTTTGTCGATTATCCAATTAGAGCTTTTTGGTTTCTTTATCAAAACTGTACACTGGCAACCTTCGTTATGGAATCATCGTTTCTTTCCAATGTTGCCATCACATATTACGAAGCTAGAGTAGAATATATCGAGACACGCTACCTCATCATTCTTCCTCCACCAAACTCTATCCAGCCTTAGATATCTACTCCTCATCACCAAAATGAATCAAAAAGAAATGATGACAACCGCGAGATTCGAACTCGCGCCCTGTTACGGACCAGCACCTGAAGCTGGCGCCTTAGACCGCTCGGCCAGGTTGCCCTTGTGATGTCTTTCATCCTCTCTGATACCTTGCCCCATTCATTAATTCCGGCGGATATCGGATAACCCCAAGCCTCGCGCTCCCCTGCACTCCACAGCTATGAGGTAGCTCCGCGTACACCGCGTCCCCTCTCGCGTCCCCTACGCGACCATGTCCACCGAAACCCCACCCCCCGCACAGAAACACAAAACCTATCTCCTCACCTCTGCCTTGTCGCCACTCGGCCATGCGTTATCCCTCCACCTGCTATCGCTCGGCTGCAATCTCGCCGCCTGCTGCACCCGGACCGAGCTCTCCTCCCCTCTCCTACCAGCTCTACGAGACGCCGGTTCAAACTCCCCCAATGGCTCCCGCTTAATCATACTCGAACTAGATGCCATGTCCCCCTCCACCGTTCAATGCGCTCTCGCCACAGCGGCCACAACCTTCGGTCGTCTCGACGTCGTCATCCATACCGGCATCCCGTCGTTTCTAGGCGCATTAGAAGAGATGTCGGCTACGGATACTGTTTCCCAGTTCGAGATTGGTTATTTTGGCCGCGTGAATGTGGTGAAGAGCGCATTGACTGTGATGAGGAAACAACGGGGTGGACATATTGTCGTGGTTACAGGATTGACGGGAGCTATGGGGACGCCGGGGATGTCGTTACGTTGTGCGGCAGATCATGCTATTGAGGGTTTGCTGGATGGGTTGGCTTATGAGGTGGCTCCGTTTGCGGTACGGGTGAGTATAGTGCAACCGAGTGTGGAGGTGGCGGTTTGGGGAGGTGGGGAGGTGAGGGTGGCAAAAGAAATGGGGGAGTATGAGGGGGTTGAACAGGTGAAGATGATAAGGGGTATGGCAGGGAGGGTGTTGGCGGGGGAGGAGCTCAGTGATACCGTTCGCATTTTAGCGGAGATTGGAGGGAGTGAGAATCCACCCGGCCGGGTTACGGTGGGGGATGAAGGGGTCGAGATCGTGAAGGAGAGGTTGAAAACGTTGTCGGAGGAACTAGAGGAATACTTGGAGGCGAGTTTAGGAGCGGATATCATGGCGCCTCCGGGAGTAGGAGGAACCGGAGGAAGGATGAGACCTGTGGCCATTGGAGAATTGGATGAGTAGAATGATTGTATCCAGCTAGATTCTGGCTGGGAGAAATCGGTCTAGTACATAGTGTATATTTGTGTTTTTTGGACATAGCTTTGCTTTTTGCGGATACCCTACGCTGTATTGTTTTTTGTTTATGCAATTTCTTCTTGGAGCCATAACATTAAAGGACGGCCATCACGGCAACGACTAATAACTCACTCAGGCTTCTTGGTATACATACTGAATTACAGAATCGGTTACCGTGACCACGGATAGAGGTCTTGCCATGAGAGGGTTCACCAAAGGTTCCAAAGGTTCCAAAGGTGCTGAAGGCAAAATATAGTAATGGGCTCAGCTCATGGAGCACAGGGAGTCCGCTCAAGAAGGCCATTATCCGCCGGCCTTGCTACGAAGCCCAAGAGTGTTTTATGCCAGTGTTTTATTTTGCGTTTTCCGTAAAGCCGACCGGTATTGAATTGGTTGACGATGATATCCTATGCATGGGTTGACTCCGTTTATTTCTTCATGCAATGCCATTGCCGTCATTCTAAGGCAGTTTAACCACGCCAGGCGGCATTGATGGCCAGGAGCCCTAAGAGCGTACGGTTGACGCCTGATCCGCTCGCCGGCAGCATCTTGTCGGCGAATGTTTAGCGTAGATATGGAATATATAACCCCCAATATCTCCCAGTCAATTTCTTCTTTACCCACAATCGACAACCCCAACTCGCCTGGCGGCAATTCCTAGGCGAGTCGGTGTAAGGGCTGGCATGTCGGAGCGGCCCCCGCAGAAAAGCCCCTGATATCCCCCTTGGAGAGGGGGTGGTGGGGGCTTTTTTGCGTTAAGTCTCTTGAACCATCGGGTTATCAAGAAAAACAGCAACTTCAGTCTACCACAAAAAAAGAGTTAAGATGAAGACTGAAGTCGCCTGGGGAAGCATTTAGTATTTTCCGTGATGATTGTATGTCAATTGAAGTCGATAAAAATCCGGATTCTCGAGGAAAAGACCTGTAGTCAACGAGTGCGGAGAGATGTAATAGGGTCGCTTAGCTGATAGGATGTAGTTGAACATACGATAGTATTGACTGAACTTCGATGTCGACTCTTGTGAAGGCTACCCCAACCCCAGTGTACTAGCTTCGCAATCTACTGCCCCTTGATCATCTCCACGACATTAAATGCATAGAAATAGTTCGGTAACCAGACGAATGTTCACAAAATATGTAGTACCCTGGATCAACTAAGTTGGTATGATCGCCCCGCCTAATCCCGCCGGCTTTAAGCACAGTACTCTAGTTCACCCGAAGACGCGCTATCCATCACAAGCTCCCTTCCCTCTTAACCTGGTACCTACTAGTTAGCTACATTATGTAAGTAGATCTAGCCCCCAGACCCCGCCTCGGCCATGGTTCATAGACCGCATATCAAGAACCTCGGTAAGCCAACCAACCATACCTAACGCTAGTTTCCAAACAAAATATCTACTTACATATATATCTCTAAACAGCCTCGTTACTCAACATCGATCTAAACCCGCGAGACTTGCAATACCATACCTACAATAATGTCGAACCCAGAGTTCAACCCAAACAAAGCTTATGGAGAAATCTCATTTTATGAAAGTCTCATGATTCGGCTTCTGCCGGTTTATCTCTACGGTACTCCCATCTCTCATCTCCGCTACTCATAGATATGCGGAAATTTATATGCTCCTAGGTTTTACACTCCCATCCGTCGTCACCCGTCGTCTTTTAGGTCAGGGCCCGACATCGCTCCCCCTAAAAATCGACCTAACCCTCTCCGCCATCCGTACCGCCTCCTCTTTCCTCTCCACGCGTCAGCAGCGGTCCACCCACGGCTCCGGTGATGGAGCAGCTCTTAAGATCCTTGCTCGCCCCCGTTTTGCAGCTGTCAAAGAGAACCTGTACCAAAAAGTCTCACTCGATGGGATGTTAGGATACTGGACCTTCCGTGGTTCCTTCACGTCACAAATACCGCCCAAGGAAGCAGATGTGGTACTTTACTTTCTGCACGGAGGAGGGTATTGTGTTTACCAGCCGGGACACTTCCTTACTTTTCAATTGTTCTTGGCGGATTGGTTGCTCACCAGAGGGATCAAGGTGGCGATTTTTGCGCTAGATTATGGTTTAGCCCCCGAAGCAGCTTGGCCAGAACAGTTGATGCAGGCGGCGAGGGGTTTGAGGTATCTTGTGAAGGAAATAGGAGTGCAGGAGGAGAAGGTTGCGTTCATGGGGGATTCTGCTGGTGGTAAGATTTCAGTTGTCTATCATACATGTCAAAAAAGCTGATGAGACAATGATATAGCAAATCTTTGTTTAAGCTTACTAGAACACATCCGCAACCCGCACCCGGACCTTATTCCAAACCCTACAACAGGAATCAGAAAACCTAGATGGGGCATCTTGATCTCGCCTTGGGTGACATTTAGAACTGATAATCCAGCGTACGAAGGCAATTCATATCTAGACTACCTAGTTAAATCGTCGTTAGAAAGGTGTGCGGAATATTTTCGGGGGTTAACTCCGGCGGAGGATGAGGTCTTGAGGCAATATACTGAGTTTGTCGGAGAAAAGGAATGGGTGGAAATGCTACCGGAGAGGACTTGGGTTCTTTCTGGTGGGCAGGAACTGTTTTTGGGGGATATTAAGACGTTTTATGCGGCTGCTAATAGCAAGGGTGCGAATATTGAAATGGAGGTCGGGGAGAGGCTGGTCCATGATCCGCCGATTGCAGAGTGTTTGACCAAGGCGGAGGGGTATCTTAATTTGAAGGTCGGGGAGGAGATTCCGAAGGGGATTTTGCCGGTGACGACGAGGGTGGCGAGAGCAGTGGAGAGGTTCGTGAAGATGAGGGGTAGTAGATTATGAGTCTAGAAAATAATAGGGTTAGAGTGGACTTCACGAGACCTGACATGGCAACTAGGTTTAATACCCCACTGCTTTTGTTTGTCATCAGAACGTTCTTCAACTCTTGGCTATCGGTGGTTATGAAAGATTATTTAACCTGTTCATCTCGGCTTGTTGAGTCAGCTAGCTAAAGCGAACCAGATACTATGCAACGATGCCCTGGAAGCACAATTGCCGCCAACTCGTTCTACTCTAGTGCGTATCAGTATATATCGGTAGTCCTCGGCGGCACCATCGCACATGAACTTCAATCAATCAAGAACCCCACACTTTCCCCTCATCACCGTCACAACCATGGCCTCGACGAATCTCGACGAACAAAGGATATCGGCGCTGTACTGGAAAACCGTCGATTCTTTTCGACTGCTTTTCGAATACTTGGCCAAGAATAACGAAATTCCAGACAAGCTGCGGGGAGCGGTCGGGCAGCTAAGAGTGTTGGCCGAGAATGTCAGTGCGCACCATACTTCTGGCAGCGTATCACTGGACTATCGGCTTCGAGAGACGACGAGGTTTCACGGCCATGGTAATGATCTGCTAAAGGATTTAAATGTGGTTATGAAAGAGAGTAAGTGACGGTATTGCGATGGATTCAAAAGAACAGTTGGTTGACTATCTTTCTCGCAGCAATGGGGATTCTGTCCGGAGAAATTCGGATTCTGGAGGACGATGACACCAATAAAAAAGGCAAAACGCAAGAAGAGGCCGATTCGTCAGAAACCGAGCCGGAGGAGAATGTTCTCGAGGCAGCAACCGATGAAATCTACCACTGCATATCTTCTCTGTTTGGCTTACAGTTGTTATTTATACAAAACCTGTCGTCTCGGGACCGGCTGGAAACGATGGAGAATTTTGGGGCCTCCACCGCGGATATCCCATAATTCCTATTCACGGTCCTGATGCAATTAATGATCTCATATCACCTCATTAATTATTAGCATTACGAAAGCCGAAAAATGGGGGAAACTGCGCAGTTGGCTCACAAGAAACGTTTCAAATTGCT